TTCTATTTCTATTTCTATTTCTATTTCTATTTCTATTTCTATTTCTACCTCTACCTCTACCTCTACCTCTACCTCTACCTCTACCTCTACCTCCGCGCGGACTCTCCGAAGAGAGTCCCTTGGAGCGCCCACCACGGGCCAACCGCCCACATTCGGCCGCGGAGGATAGGACGAGCGGCAACGACACACCGACACGTCTCTTCCCCTGCGGCCCCGCCGCCACTGCATCATTCAAAGCGGTGCAGCCCCGCCAGGGTCGCGGAGGACAGGACGAGCGGCAACGACACACCGACACGTCTCTCCCCCCGCGACCCTCCTCCTCGCGCATCCGCGCGGTCCCGCTGACCAGACGAGCCCCGCGCGGAACGCCCTCCTCCTCGGGCCAGCCTACCACCATCGGCCGGCCCCGTGGGTTCCTCTTAGCTTCGCCGTGGGATGAAATTGACCACGGCTACTAGAGCCCCCCCGCCACGACAAGGCGGGAACCCCTTCGGGGGGGAACTTAACCTAAACCTAACCGAACCTAATCGTGTCTTGGCGATAAATATTCAACATATCCCGAAAGAATAACTGTTTCGTTATAATTCGGTTTTCGGTATAATGAAAATTCGAAAAAACGTTATTTCGGACATAAAAAGCTTTTTTCGAAAAAAAATTTTCGAGTTTGTGATAGTTGGAGAATACCTGTAAGAGCTAAATGGGTCAATGCGACGGATTTCTGTTATTCAAGTGCGCAGAAGCTGTCTAATCTATAAAGGTCTTTGTTTCACGTCGATGACTCCAGTGTATGGCTTCATTTTGTATCTTAACGCGTAATATTTTACATATTTAAATTAGTAAAGGTATCTCAAGATACTGTCGAAAGATTGTGCTAATTTATTACACGATATGATGTACTTTGCATATAAAATCCTGAAAACAGGTTTAAATAAAAGACGTAGCTCGATCCAGCCGGATCGAAGGATTTTTTTAAGTGTTTGATATTTGTATTACTAATTATGACAAACTACTGGAGTAATGTCACAAAAATAATTGAACATGGTGGTCAAACATCGTAAAAAACTTGAAAATTACAATTATACATATATACGAGTACATCTCTAGTCAGCTGCCGTTAACTGTAAAGATGGCGCTACGATAAAAAGTCGTTCAAAACCAAAAACGAAGATCTGCAACAAGCACATAGAAAAATTCGTAAGGTCTGCTAGTTTGTTCTGTGTCTTAGTTGGCACAGGGCCTAGCAAGGGTTTGCTGGAAGGCGTTAGTTGGAATCCAACCGAATCAAAGGATTTTTTTAAGCGTTCCATCTTTATATTAATATTTAAAAAAAATTATTTTTTTTAAAATTAGTTGTTTAAAATAAATTCAATTTCAGCGAGAACTTATCGTCGCCTCTACCATGCGGTAAAATTAACTGTATTAAGCAAATGTGTAAATTTAACGCATTTGCTGCAAATATTGTAAAATAAATCTCACGTTTTCCTCTTTATTGTTAGTGTCAGAAAGAAATCGTTTAAGTCCGGGCGTAGTGCGTTTTGGCCTTTACAATGCTTGGTAAGTTTAAATGTATATTTCTTACGTAACTATATACTATATACTACTTGTTGTTGATTAATATTGATATTAATCAACTAAGTAGTGGGTTTTCGAATTAATTACTGACGGTTCGACTGGGAGACTTCCTAAATGCCAAACGCAACAGCTTTCAAAGAGCGCAACAGCTAGTCTGACATCATGCCATGCCATGAATATGCAATTTCGTATTAGTAACTGTCTTGTTTAATTATCATTGTTAACGGTACTAGTACTTTCTTCAGCGTGTGTTCACACTATAGTCCGCCACCCAGAGTTGAGGTCACCAGCTCCAGGGATTGTAAACTTTCAATTCATCAAACCGCTAGCGCTATCGCCATATAGCCGTATAGCTGATATACGCTCATATCAGAGGATCTGAAGGATATTAAATTTATCAATGTAGATTTTCAACCGTGACCATGGGACATGTAAAGGGCCCGAAACGTCGGTTTGTTTGAAAAACAAATATACGCGATTTAAATCCGGAAAAATAGTTTCATTTCCTATGTGTAACAATCGCGAAAACCTAAGAACTCGAAATGTAGATTTTATTCAATTTTTTTATAAACCCGTTTTATCCCACTGCTGGGCAAAGGTCTCTTTTCCCATAACTTTCGGTCTTGGGCAACACCTGGCCAGTCCTAAAAAGGAGCCCAAGTCATCCCGCCATCACCGACGTGGTCTACCCCGTCTCCTTTTGGAGTTGTGGTGGTTATCTTGGCTCACAACTCATTCGGCATGCGGCAGACGTGATCAGCCGCTATATTTCAATTGACATAAAGTAAAAATTTCATGGCTCTGAGACCTACATCGGAGTATCGTAGTGATTTTCTCTATGCGGTATTGAAGAGCAAGCTGCTGCGGGAGACATTCGCGCCTGAGGCCGCCTGGTGCGCCGGGGTAGCGACAAATGGGAGGAACATGCGTTCGCGGTATTGTTAGAGATGTTCGTCATCATATCGCGCTTTACTGCGTTCCAGTTTTGAAGGGTAAGGGTGCTGGTGAAATTACAGGAACATGGGACTTGTCAACTTATGTCTCAGGGTGACGGGCGCAGTGGCAGTGCCCCTCAGATCTTTGCGATTTAAAGCTCTGAGTCGCACTGCAACTGTTATGGACAGGCTTGTGGCGTACCATCAAGCACGCGATTTGATCGTCTCCTCACGCTATTATAAAAAAAAACTTGATATTATAAAAAAAGAGTGTCTCGCTTGACGTCCTCTTGGCCCGGTTGACCTTTTATTTGAAATGCAACGTTCTCCGTACTTAATTAATGCACGTCATTAATTTGTATTTGATTAAATATATTTTATTTCCATCTACAACTATATAGCATACTACGCTTCCGAGTCGTTCCAGTTATACGGAAAAAAAGCAAATTTAATTATTATTGACAATCTGTTTTACCTTTATTTTTACGATCAACTAAAACCTTATTTTAGACGTACTATATAAAAAATAATTTAAATATAGAATGACTCTATATTATATCTAATTTGGGTGAAGGAAATTTTCTTAATTTTAAATTTATTTATTGCCTACACAATACAACTGTACAATACTTAAAACATAGCAAAAGCCTCAGATTAAATTCGATTGACCGAAATTGGGTGAAATTCAACAAACTCGATTAAGACCCTAGTAAGCCACTCTGAGAGGTGGAAGTTTTCTTCTAACTTGAATGAGACTACCATGAAGGTATCCCATTTTCAACAAACAAAGAATTATTGAAATCGGTTCACAAAAACCGTGTAATATACACAACCAAACAATAAGGACGAATTGAGAGAAAAAAAAAAGAAAATAGTACCTACAGCACCATCGTAACTGCCATTTATCTATGATCATAATGCACAATATCGACATCGTACTAAATTACACTTTATTTAATTTCCAGGCAAAAAACCTTACGTAATGTGTATTTTATTTTTTTTGAACGCTGACGCAAGTGTGTTCTTCCACGAAAAGTCACTCGTAGAGATAAGGCCAGCTCAGTTGAATAATGAAACGGACTTTGGATTTTCCCTATCCTACCAGAGAGGCCATCAAAATCGATTAGGTGAGTAGACAACGAACTTAAGTAAAATTACATCTTTGGTATAATAAGGTCACATCTGCAAAATGAAAAAACAACTTTTTAGAAGAGAGTTTAAGGATGCTATGAACACAATTGCTGGAAAGCTTTTTTACGCTTAAATACGAGGAAAAAATACCAAGCGGACATAAGACTGCAGTACTAATTAATATGTTCTATTTTAGGAAATGAAAGTATTTTTTCGGATTTAAAACGCGTGTATTTGTTTTTTCAAACAAACCGACGTTTCGGGCCCTTTACAGGTCCCATGGTCACGGTTGACTGAGGTGGTACAGTTACCAACCAGTTATGTCTAATATTAAGCCAAGCAACCCTATTTTTCCACTATAGTTACAAAAGTTATTCATTAAATTGAATTGAAAAATACCTTATTTGTAATTTTACAATGAAAAATACCAATTTACGCTAGATTACGTTTTACAAATTATTTTATTGAATGAATTTTTATTAACTTAAATTTATTATTAATTAATAATAGATATTAGAATAAATTAAAACACATTTATTAGTACTGTAGTCTTATGTCTGTTTGGGACTTTTCATCAGAGGAAATACTGGATCGAAACTTGTGGAACGAAGAAACCATCTTCCCTGTTGAAATTAGGATGTTTTTTAATTTCAATGGCCTCTCGTAGCATCCTGAGTAGACAACGGACTTCTTTTGCAAGAACCAACTTCATTGAATGTGTAGGTTTATCCATGACATGCTCGCAAACGTTGGTTTCTTTAAAAAAACAAATATACGCGATTTAAACCTGGAAAAATAGTTTCATTTCCTACGTGTAACAATCGCGAAAACCGAAGAAATCAAAATTCATTTTTAAACAATAAATTTAATTTAAAAATCATGTTGTTAAAATAAAATAATTTAATAATAATAACAAAGCACACCACACACACACATTTGTAAAGCATATGTATTGTTTTCATTAATATCCCATTTGTTACTGAAAGGTAAAAATCTTTCCAATTTGTTTTATTTTCTGAATACTGTCCGATTATAGTATAAAAGTCATGAGAAAAATAATGAAAAAATTCGAGTAGAAAATTTCTCCAAATTAAATCCGGCTTTTCCTTTTTCCAAAAGGAAAAGCCGGAAAATGGTGTTCTTTTAAAGAACAGTAGTAATTTGAGCTACTATTACTAAGTATATGAATATGCTTACTCTTACACTGAAATTGTTATTGGATTGAATAAAAAACGATTGACTTTATATTTTTTATTAGAAATAAAATCAAAGAATAACTTTCATTATATAAAAACAAAAAAAATAAATTATCCCCGTGTGTAGACATTTGAAAGCCGTCGTTCGGATGCAAAGTGATTTTACACTTTGTACAAAGAATTTGGGATTTTTATGGCAAATGTTGCGTCTTGTCTGATTATCCCTATAACCTTAGAGGGTGGAAAAAACTTATAACTTATCATGCCCGTTATTGTCAAAGCGAGATTCTTCATGTGATTTCTTCGAGACAAATGCCAAATTTACGATTGTCGCTCTTTTTGGAGCTCCCCATTATACCTGTCGCTACGGCTCGACGAAAGCTAAGCTAATTGTAGTAGCAGTTGACCTCCTTTAGCAAGAGTTCGTCCAGGAAAGTAGAAGTTCTGGTTTTGAAGGGTAAGGGTTTTGGTGAAATTATAGGTAAATGGACTTTTAAACATACGTGTCAGGTGATGGTAGTGGCACTGCAACTGTTATGGACAGGCGTGTCGCTTACCACCAAGCCCACGACTTATTTGTCCCGTTAGAATGAAAAACACGTGCAGGTAAGTGACACACCTTTTTTTTTTTTTTTTTTTTTTCTGCCCATAACAATTGCAGTGCCGTCTATGGGGCACTGCCACTGCGCCCCGCACCCAGACATAAGATGAAAGTCCCATGTCCCTGTAATTTCACCAGCAAACGAAAACCGGAACCCTTCAAAATCGATACGCAGTAATACTTACATTACTGCTTGGCGGCTGAAATACGCAAGGTGGCAGTACTTCCCTGGACGAACTCTTTCACAAGGAGGTCTACTGCTAACTATTGCTGCGCTAGACACATATCATTGTCACTGTCGTTTGGCCGGTCTCTGGAGGCAAAATTGTGATTTGAGATGGTACGTCCTCACCGTTTTCGTTATTTTCCAGCTCCTCAATAATTTCTCTCAGAGTCAACCCTCTTAGACGTAATCTGAAAATAAGAATACTATGTACAAACATAATGTAATAGTAGCCTATGTTACTACTGTTTGATATAAGGAACACCAAGTTTGACTAGAGAAAAATCACAGGTTTATTTATTGTTATAATCTTAGAATAATAACGCATAGAAACCTAGTCCGCACACGCTAAGTGAGGAAATTGAAGCGCTCCCAATGGGCCTACACGAGCGGGCGGGCCTTCAGTGCTCAAGGTCAACTTGCACCGCGAACAGCTCAAGAATTTTAGCTAAAAATGTGCGGTAAACGAGTGTAAAAATACGTCAGACAAACATAAAATAGATACTAACATCACATTCCACAAGGAAGTAACGCGTTTCAACTTGTATTTTTGTATAAATATTCACTAAAACCGAAAATTAACCTACTACTAAAACTAGCCTACATGAATTTGATTTTTGCCTCACTTGTGACTGTTCGTTTGATATGAAACTATCATTCTATGCGTTATTATTCTAACGTAGAACATGTTAGTTTTACTATCAAGCATCAAACACATGCAATAAAAATATCAATAACTTACCTTTTATTAGCCATCCATTTTTTTATCTAAATTCTTCAACAATAGTACACAATACAATATTTCACAAATACTGTTTAAATACTCATTAGTCAAATGGCTAACTCCTGACTTAACGGTCAACACTAAAAATTTTTTTTTAAGCCTACCCTCAATCAACGCTAGATTTTTTTTCTTGAGGTGTTCCTTTAACTGAAGTGAGCTAGTGACAATAGGGTTAATATTAGACATTAACATGACTCTGCCATCTCAGTCAGCCGTGACCATGGTACTTGTGAAGGGTCCGAAACGTTGGTTTGTTTGAAAAAACAAATATACGCAACCTTTACGCAATTTTTATGACTTTCATGTGATAAAAACACTTTAGACGTATACTCATTATAAATGTGGCTTTATTATACCAATGATACCAAATAGAGTTCCAAGATTCTTAAATGAGTAGGTCCTGTGCCCGCCACGGACACTGTAGTCATGTGTAAATTGAAGGGAACTATCATTTATTTGATTTCTATTTATAATTTATTTTATTTAATTGTTATTTTTCTTTTATTTCCATTTGCCCGATAACCTCAAATTTGATATACCTACTGTGGAAATCCGATGAAATTACAATAATTTACTAACTTAGTCATAAGATTACAATTGTTACTAACAAAATATGGAGATAATCTGAAAATAAAAATACTATGGGATTATAACACCTTGAGACAGTAACCGGGACAGTCTGCAGACTACCTAACCCTTAACTAGGTATATACAGTAGAACTACCGTTTAGTTGATTCCGACGAGTTGTGAGCTTATGGATGCTGCCGTTCTTATCATAACTAACGCATTTGCATTTTGGTAACTTACGACATATGAGTACCTACCTAAAGTTTTTTCTTTGAAAAATGTAAATTACGTTTAAACTAAATAAGATATAAAAAACCGCTTATAGGGGGTTGTAGATCGCAGTTCGCTGATTCCAGATAAGTTAATAACTCAATTTAGCAAAATATGTCGACTACGTCAGTTATGATAAGGAGAGTAGGATGGTTCATTTTTTTAGAAGTTCTATATAAAAAGGAGGGTCTTTTAAATTTAAGTGAGTTTGTGAGTGTGAGGGTGTTGCGAGTGATTTTTAAATCGGGTACTTAAATCTATTCTGATGTTCCGGAAATTTCGATCAATGGTACACCTTTGTGGCGGGTGGCTAAATTTAAATACTTCGGGCACTGATGATTTAAAGGACAACCTGGACATAGAGAGGGAACGCTAGCTGCCCGCTGTAACATGGTGGCCCGAAGGTTTGCAAGGTGTACAAAACCAGTTAAAAACCATTCTACACCTGCAGTCTCCGGGTCAATTTTGTAGCAAGTGCATATACTGCCTTGCGGATCCAATGTAATAACACATTCAGGGTTCTGTTGGGGCTGCCGTGACGTTGCAATTCTTCGGAGATGTTTGCGGAGGCGCGCGCGGATGGCTTCTATTCTATAATGAGAAGACGTTGCCCGTGGAGGCGGGCTAGCATCCGTCTCCGCGGTAGCACTAACGGACTCCTGAGTGTGTTCATAGACCGGTGGGACTCCCCAATGTTACAGCATTGGGTGCAGCTCCACACCAGGATATAATTTTTCATTTTATTTTATTTTCTACCCTGGTCCTCAGGGAATTTGTTACTAACACTATGGACAAGATTCCGAAATAAATACTTATGATATGGCGTGGAACACTTAATGCGCAAATCCGTCTTGCAGCCGCTATTTTATTACACTTGGCATTAGATACACTTTAATTTGACTATCGTACAAAGAAATCCATTATGTTTTCAGTGGTCGGTTCACCACACAGCGACTTGGACGGACAAGTATATGGTTGTCCCATAGAAGATGCATTAAAAAAAAACACTGAATGTCAACGTCTCACTATTGATTTTGAAAGGTTAGCCAGTGTTAAAGATGATAGAGGTATGTATACTAGGTTATAGTATATTTTTGGCGAGTCGAAGGTTTTGACGTTTGAATTATTAGGCTTAGTATTCAACTACTGTTTATTATTAATTAAAAATAGACTTACGCTTGGCTATCTAATCTCATCAGGTTTAATTTAACTCTATGTGATTTGACATAAGGATCAAAGTTCGAAATGTCAAGCTTTATGTGTTCTTCACTTTAAAGTTAGAAAGGCCACGAATAGTGCATATGAAAAATAACACCTGTGCGGTGTGCACACACTTTATTTTTGTATAAAAAAGATGGACATGAAAAATAATAATAAAATTTCAACAAATTAGACAGATTTTTGTAGCGCGAGTTGGTTTGTATTTGTCTTAATTTTTTTTTTATTTCTAGTACTGTCGCTAGGTTAATTCATTGCTCTTTTACCTATTCCCAAACTAGGGATAGTTTGGGAACAGGTAATTGGCGTGGTTTGGTAGGTTATTATTACTTTAAATGATTGTTTAAATTTCAGATATCCTTAATCCGAATCAACACTTCTGTTTGGGAATGTCCATCATTTCTACACCCGAATATTTCATGGTAAATAGCTTAATAATTATTCATTGATTAGTAAAACAGTTGTAGGTAGGTATATGTCATCCATTGTAGGAAGAATGGCCTTATATTACAATTTTGACGCAAAAATAGTAAATAGTAAATTTTCGTCCAAATTGTATTTACGTCCAACAGTCTTTTCGAACAAGTCATGCGCCTGGGGTTAATAGATACGCCTTTTCATAGCAATTCTACCGTCCTTTCAAATTTTCAATTTTCTATATAGATTTTAAGACTTTCGTGGTTATTCACTAAATGATTATCACTAGTATCAGGTTTCTTACCACGGAAAATAAAAAGAAGTCATACCGTGGTAAGAAACCTGATACTAGTGATAATCATTTCAATTTTCTGTTTATCGAAATATTTTTTTGTTATAAGAAACGAAACTAAAGCTTATACCCCTGCAATACACTTGGTCGCTCCTTGTTTAGAGAACTAAATTTATGACTCCAATTCTATATGGTAGCACGTTGATTGAAATTACAATATAATATCAAAACGTCGCAACTTGTAATATTGATGATATTGAACTTTCAACAATATGCCAACTGGGTAAAGTTTAAATTATAACAATACAGAATTTGTTATTTCTTTTTAAATTTGAACTACGACCAATCAATATCAAGATTTTGTAATGTTTCAAATTAAGAATCTGTGAGTTTTGGCGCCATCGGTTCTGATGGTAATCGAGGCCTAAGGCACTTCCATGGTTTTTTTCTTCCGTGGTCCCTGTAGTCTCCACTGCAATTGGTACAAAAACGTACATCGGTTTCAAGACACTGTACTTGGTATGTTTAAATTTTGCCGCATACTCTGCAGCCGACCCGGTAGATCTGGAGACGTGACTCAGGTTGGGCGGTGCACAAGTAGCGTAAAGTGAAACTAAATAAGATATATAAAAACCGCTTATAAGGGGTTGTAGATCTCCTTTCGTATATGTTAATAACTCAGTTTTGTTAAAAATGTCGATTACGTCATTTATGAAAGGAGGGCAGAATTGCAGTGCCACTCTGAACATAAATCGCAAAGACGGGTACTGCCGCTACGCACGTCACCCTGCGACATAATTTGACTGTCTGTAATTTCACCAATAGTATTCTAAGTGACGATATATTATATTAAGACGAAGGTTTGAAATAGGGCTACCAGTGGCTTAAACTTAACTATAAATCAAGGAGATAAACCGCTTTGTCTTGCCACTAAGTTTGTTACATCCCCAATTAAGGCAAGTACTACTTTTGGAAAGTCAATTACAATATCTGTTTCAATCGATCAGGCTATTGATGGTCGTTGGAATTCGTTAACTTAAAGTTCAAGAACTTGATTTTTTTTAAATATTAATTGTAATTAATATTATAATGTTTTACTATCACGATACTCATTTATTTTTTGTGGAATTACTCGATTATAGTTTAAAGGTCGTTAGCTGCCACTTGGGTAACCGGTCAAATACAATATTTAGTAGTGAGTTTCATATGACGTATAACTGGTGTACTCAATTTGGTCGCATGTTATTAGTTATCATCTTTTTAAAGGCTGGATTTTAGGTTGTTTATCATACAACAAACTAATTTTTCTATGCGTTGGTTGATAGATATTTACTTTTTGGTTTTAATGGATTTTTCAACGCCATCTGTGAGAAATGTATGAAAGTTATAACCTAAATAATTCTAATTCAGTCTCGCCTTGAAAAGGCCCAAGTTATAGCGTTCAGGGAACAAGTTTGCAGCCAGGGAATTCCACTCCATAACCATTTGTTATATAAGTGTAGAAGCGAACCGCTTCCGTGCTAATCCTTGGAATATCCATAACATAGCGGTGAAACCCCAGTCTTTGTTTAGTTCCCCGATGATGGAAACGGGGAGGCGGTATACCTACCAGTTCTGGTCACCCGAGACTTTCACGACGCGGAAAGGGGAAGGCGGAATTAATTCGTCCAATTCCCTCTTTTTTCTTTCTATTTCTTTTTCATTATTTATCTTTTTTAGCACTTGCTTTGGCTGATTTTGATCCGAGAACCGTATTCCTGTCCAATTTTAATAGACGAAGCACGAAAGTACTGAATCAATTGTTGGGGTTCTGACGTAATATTTAGTTTGGAAAATCAGTGTTTTTCAGGCAGATCGAAGGAATTTTTATTTCTGTTGTTCAATCTCGATACCTCCAATGAACACGACAACTTCATTTTTGGACATGTTCTGTTTTTATTTCGTTTATGTTTCTTTATTTCTTTCTCAAAATTCTTTTCCTTTCGAATTTTCTTTTTTTTGCACATAATTCGGGGAGCATAATATTAGTAAATAAATATGGTTGTTTACATAAATAACAGAAAATGACCAAAAAATAAGGTTCATTGTACATAGGTATCGATCTGTGCATCAATAATAATATTACTGCATATCACTTTAGGTTTTCTACCTTTCCACCGACGAGCGTATAATTATTTATGTATCAAAAACAGAAATTTATTTTTACAAATGTTTCAGACATGCGCACCTTTATGGCCAGCCAGAATCGAAACCTCTGCTACCACCAGCACGAAACAGTTCGATTCCTTCGGCACTTGCTTCGTCTATTACAACGAATCCGATGTCAAACGGTATAGAGGCTTGGTTGAACAACATATGGAAAATTTTACCACTCATTATCGTAAGCGTTAATAAATATTAGTCGACTTCTTAGGTTTATGCGATTGATATACATAGGAATTTTTCGGATCTAAGGGCGCCTTCAAATTAGTTGCTTGTAGAAGCGCCTTCAGTAATTTTTAGTTCACTAAATTGTGACTGCGAAAGTGGCGCGTGCATTTCACGACAGTGGCGTTGCAACTGTACTTCGAAATATGGTATGAAAATTAGCAGTGGCGCGGTTGCAGCGCCACATTGGTGCCACTGTAGCGCTTCTATACACATCTAATTTGATGGCGAACTAAGTCGCTTATATTTGACTGACTTCAGTCAGTTGTGAATATAATGGGACAAAAAATACATACGCAATTTAGATCCGAAAAAAGTGTCATTTCCTATAATAAATATCGTATGTATTTTTTTAATATGGTTCATCATCAACTTATTTTACGTCCTACTACTGGACAGGGGTTTTTTCTAAACAAAAAGTAGGCTTTTTATGATAATAAGCGACGGGACGAACAAAGTGCGCCTGGCGGTAAGCGATAAGCCTGTCTATGTCGCAGTGTCAGAGTTTTAAATCGTAAAGATCTGTGGTGCACTGTTCCCGCTCTCGTCATCCTGAGATGTAAGTTGACAAGTCCCATGTTTTAATCTGCCATTCGGTTTAATGCTATTGGAGATTTTGAAGAGTTGTGAACCCACTTCTACGAGCAGGTTTCATCACGATGCGTCGCCTTACTATGAAAACCCGTAAGTCAATTATTTTAACAAACCCACTTTTTCAGTACAGAAAAATTCAATCAATTACCTTTTAAAATCTCAAATGTTTACTATGATTACCTAAATTGATTAACTAAAGCACTAAATAGATTTTTTAAGTTTATTTCCTTTTAAAAAATGGACGTATTAAAGGCTGTCCTTGTAAAGTTACTTATTTATTTAACCCAAAATTCAAAATTTGTATGTGGTCAGGAGGAGTGACATTTCTCCAGGCGTCTGATATACGCATTGTTTTAGAGTGTCATTGTCCCTTTTTTGTGAAACTTGTCGGAGTGTTACAATCCTGATTGGTCGACGAAATTGTTACATAAAGGGTCAACACAATTATCGCTATGAAATCGCGTTAATCTAGTCATGTAACAACGTTGGCACAGAAAGCTTTTCCTGAGTAACTCAAGCCGATTCTTCGTTAATAAATGTGTGAGAACCTAACATATCCGCTCAATGATTTTAATTAATTTTTTAATGTTATCTAAGGCCACTGTGGAACGCAAATGACGCGCATTCCACTGTCTTACTACCGGGCAATCCACCCGGTACTTTAGACGTTAGAGTGGTGCGCAGGCGGCTGCTGGTGCTGTCCCATATGATTTGTATCACCGACGCTATCCGTTTGTGCAGGATAGTCTGGAAACTATCAAAGCACGCCTCGGCAAACATACCTGATGTGCAGCAGAGTCGGAGTAACCTCAGCAGCATTCTAAGCCCATTAATATACTGGCGCTTATGGCGGTTACGTTTGGAATCTTAATTTAAATTAATATTTATCAACAGTACATCTGGCCGGTACCATGGGTCTGAACATAATGTACGACCACCGTAATGAATTGATACTTCTTGCGAATCCAACTAGATTTGGTGAAATTTCATACGTAAAGGCTACAGCGCCAACTACGAATGTCAAGGGCTTGTACTCTCACAACTTAGTACTCAAAAAAAAGGACCAGGACAACATAAAACAAATAGGTAAGACGGATTATTTGCAGCTTTTGTCTTTAAATCAGATAATAAGATCTTAAACGCATGTAATGGATGGAGGTAGTACATCTTACGAATTTCTCACGTGCTTGTAGCCGTTGTTGCCGATCTTTGTATTGGATTTGTAAACGGTTTTGATTGATTGATTGAGCGGTTATGATTTTTATGAAAGCGTCTTTTCTCAGCCAGGTGCCTTTACAACTAACAGAAATAGCAGTCGCAGGTCGCTCAGAGTGTTAAATCGCAAAGATTTAAGGGACACTGCCACTGCGCCTGTCACCTTGAGACATACGTTGACAAGTCTCATGTGCCTGTAATTTCAATAAAACGCTTACCCTTCAACATTGTAACGCTGTAAGGCTCACGTTACTGCTTCGGGTAGAAATAGGAACTCATTCACAAGGAGTTCTAGTGCTACTGAAGTCGCTATACTAATTGTAATATTTAATTTTTGTTGAATATCATGTAGTATTAACTGCTATGACATTCGTATATTTTTTTGTCAAAATATTTCGCTAGTTTATTATTATTACTGGTATAAAGATCGAACAAACACAAAGAAAAATTCCCCCGATTCGGCTGTATTCGAACCAACTTCTATAGCCTTAACGTGGCTGGCTACAATGGCAATGCGTATATGTTATTGAACATTTAATTTCTGTATTCAGGTTATGCTTTAACTGCGGGGAAGTTCTTCTCCAACATCGATGAATTTGTTTACGCATTCAACTTGCAGGATGCCAATAGAGAAGAAAAAGTAAGTAATATAAAAATATTTATTCAACTTGTCTTTGAACAAACATCTTTTTTAATTTTGGTATTATTCTAATGTCCAAACATAATGTATGTATAAAATTTAGTATCATACAAAGCAACAATTTAAATTCTATACTACTTAGTACAAGAATAGCTCAATACGACAACGTTAGGTTAGTTAACATGTGCGTGCGGTATGTCCGTTCACTCCGATATTTAGCGTCGTAATGGCGGGAGCGCTTATGTAGTTTTATGCCGTAACCCCATCTGTGCGAACTTATGAAAGTTTCTTCACTCAGTCAGGTACCGTTACAGCTACCAGAAGGCTGACATAGGTGTCGCTATATTGATTGAAATGTTTATTTTAACATGTCATTATTCATCACATATTCTGACAGCGAAAGATTGTAGGAAGACGTTTCTAATTTTAATAACTCGTAACCATTTTAAACTAGTGACGGAAAAATTTACATATCTACGCGTAACAACCATATACTAGTTACAATTGTTAAATTTAACTGTTTTCAGGTAGCATTTTTGCAGTATAAAGCCAATGACCATTCCTTGAATATTATAAATAATGGTACCATACTGTATGTAACGGCAGAAGAATTTGTTCCAAGAGATGTGAGTAACACATTGTTTGGTGCTGCTTTGAGTGGTGCTGATCTAAATTTGGATGGAGTAATGGAACTGTTAATAGGCGCACCTACGTATGCCGAGGTCGAAGACGTATATGAGACTGGTGCCTTGTTTATTCTCATCGGCGGAAACCCTGTGAGTATTTATCGAGTTCTTAGGTTTTCGCGATTGCTACACATTGGTAATGACTCTATTTTTTCGGGTTCTTTACAGGTCCCATGATCAAGGCTGACTGATGGTCTGATATTTTATTCATTTATTTAGAATACAAATACAATTACATATACCTCAAACAGTATTTTATAAACTTAAAATAAGTTTTCCCAAATAACGCTAATTCATCGCTTAGTACTGTGAACAAGTTATTAAAAAAAAGGAAAAGTTTGTGTTTGTGTGAGTGTGAATGGTGTGATGTTGTAGCATGAGTCAGAGAATGATTTCATGTAGTTTATGGTGATGTTTCGTGCGGTTTTAGTGTGTGTTAGTTGTTTGACAGGTAGAACCGAAGGGGGAAGTAGTTATGTATGCAGCGGGTTTAATTTTTTAATTTTTATGCACGTATACGTACATAAATGCAATCGAAAATACATACGTAGACGGTACGCATAAATTACGTAAATTTAAATAAGTACACATTAAATTTTAAGGATTTAAAGTTTTCAAAAAATGTTCTTTTAATTTGCACTTTATGTCCTTAACATTAACTTCCTGTTTCGGTTATGGTCAGTTCAACTGTGACCATGAGACATTTGTGAAGCCCCCGAAATGTGGATTCGTTTGAAAAAACTTCCAATTAACTTCCAATCTTTGAGTATTATTTTGAATATTGTATCTTAGATAATCTAGTGCTTAAACAATCAGAATCTTTTTAGGTGACAAAAGATTATTTACTTTGTACTTTCAGAATATGATAACTGATAAGAGAAGACGTGCCATATATGGGGATAAAAATGGAGCTCGTTTTGGGACAACGATAGCTTGCACCGATTTGGATGGGGATGCAATTCCAGGTAAGCTATTCTTAACTATATTTAAGGGCGTTATCTTCACTTGCTGAATTCGGTAGGTAATTTCACAATTGCAAAGTAATACTATAGAATTATATAATCTCAGTAGAGAGTACTAAAAAAACCGACCTCAAAAGTGCGTGGAATTACGTCTATTTGCTAAGTTTTATTGTAATGTCCTTAAATTCGCCACTATACCGGACTTGACATTGGAGATAATAAAAAACGGTTCTCACTACTCAAAGTATATGGAAAGAAAAACGCCTTGAATTGGAGACATAGCAAAATCAACCATTAAAATAATTGCTCCTTAGTAAAATTTAGGCGCTATTTATAAAAATGAATCTTCATGCGTGAACAGCCACCCTTAGAGGTGGATGATTTTCTTCAAAATGAAATGGGACCACTATGGAAGTACCCCCTTTCCAACAAAAAAAAAACATGAAAATCGGTCCACAAATACCGGAGTTATCACGTAACATACATGCAAAAAAAAAGAAAACAGTTGAATTGAGAAGCTCCTCCTTTTTTGAAATTGGTTAAAAATAAGAGAAGTAATGTGACTCCATATAAACGTAGCAGGGCTTGCAGGGCGGCTTGTATGTGTGCACGCCCGTCTCGTGCCGTGTATGGACGAACACATTCGCATAATCGTGAGATTATATAGATATAGATCTAGTGCGTGAGCACTAGAGTTGCACAGCGCGGACGCACATGCATTACAGCATTGAATGTTTAAAATATTTAATTATTTTTCTTGTATCAAATCTATAATTTTTTTATTTATAGATAGCTAAGATACCAAAGATACCAATCCGCGATAGTAGTTTAAAAATATAATATGTAAGTATTGCAATTGATTAAAGTCATTCAATACAGCACGAGAGTACCTACCATGATGTATACTTTACAACCTATAGGTACAATTACAATAAGAATGTTACAACCCTACGCTCAAAGTGACGCGTATACATTGACACGCTGAATAGGCGCAAGTTGCACTACTTGTTTTCTTATACTGTGGTACTGGTTCCAATAGCACCCTTGATGTAATAAGGCCACATTAACAAAATGACCATTTCTTAGGAGAGAGATTTAAATATTTACGAATGACATTACCAGACAACGCTTAAAGTGGAGACAAAATTTCACATATGTACGTGATGTAATGTTTACTTTTTGATATTTTTCACTAGCTTAACAATCATTTTATCATTCATTCTAGGTACATACTATTTAAACATTACAAGTTTATTAGAAACCCATAATAATTAAGGCATAATTGCAATACACAATGTACATATAAATAAATTATTAAATTCTAAAATATTTTTGCTGCTAACAGTACTTAATGCAAATAGACTAGACATCTGACCAAAAAAATGTTTATTCGAAATTTATTACAATCGTGGGCACCGCAACAAACCGGAGGAATAACGAATTAACCCGTAATTTGTGTTATGTGGTTCGCAATATTTTTATCACTTTGATGTTCTACAAGCACTTTGTCATATTAGATGAAAACTGGAACGATATAACAAAACATTTTCGTAATAAACTTATTCTTATTGTTCCTAGAAATTTTTGTATCTGCTCCATACGCAGACGACGGTTTTGGGGTTTTATATATCCTGTCGGGATATGAACTGAACAAGACACTGATCAGCTCTGATGTGCGAAGCAAATACCTTGAGGATTTCAAGATGACGCAAATGATCAAATCGGAAAGATTTAAGTCGTTTGGTTATAGCTTGCAGGTTGTGCCGGAACGTAATAACCAAGGGTGCGATAGTAAGTACCTATAGTACTCATGTACTAACTATTATGTACCTTTTCTCTTAAGATTTTTAGGGAGCCTTCAAATTAGACGCTTATAAAAGCAATGGTACCACTGCGGCATTGTAGCCACGCCACTACTAATTTTCATACAATACTTTCAAGGTCAGCCATAGCGCCACAATCGCGCCACACGCGCACCACTTTTGCAGGCTAGATATTATTATTCCAATGTTATTAAATAAAGATATTGTATGAATATTAGTCCTGGCGCGGCGGCCACGCATGCCACTATATTATTATTTTTGAATTGAGATGAGTAATCTGGTTATGATAGTAATTAATTTGTTTAGTGGGTACGGTTTTATTAAATAAAGGTAATTGTATATTACGTATGCGTTATTAGGCCTCCTAGTGAACGGTAGGAAATTTCATCTACTATAGTCCATCTGTTTAGGTACTTAAATAAATGTAAACAATCTTGAGATGTCTATTTAATGAAATATACATTTATAAAATGATTTTCCCTTACCTTCAAATACAAAATACAAATACTTAGTTTCATATGAAATTGCATGCCTATTTTTATACCTATTGATTTGTAAAGCATGTTTCAATAAAAAGATGTATCAAGATTGTTTACATTTAGTTAAGTACCTAAACAAATGGACTATAGGTATATCATCTTCGAACAGTTACGGTGTTGGTGTTAATTGTCGTAAAATATAAAACAATGTACTTAAGTACTTACATATGTATACATGTATACTAAATATTAACACTTAATCGAGAATACTTAACCTATTTTCTTCATTTATTTCATACAAAGACATTTAAGAAAACATAATAAAATTTCCCGCCAAGCTGCGAAAGCATTTTGTTGACGAGGTTGCATTCATAATCACAAAACTATATTATTCCTAATGCATTTGTCAAAATTAGTGTACACTAACTAAATTTACATGTTTTCATGAAGTACTTATTAACTTTATATTTTTCTTTAAAGTGAATTTACATAACAATTCTCTGCTGTCTCTCAAAAAAAAATTTGTTAAATATAATTAGCAAGAAATGACTATTTTTTACAATAATAGTGGTTTATTTTTGGATATACATATTTATTGGTAGGGTTTTTACGTCGATGAGGTATGAATCAAAAGTCGTAACAGCTCAGCTGAACTTTGTATGACTCTATGGCGTTTTCCCTTTGTTTGGATGGCTAAATATTCTTTGGCGGAAGTCAGTCAGTTGACGTACTTCTTGTTTAAGAAGGCTTCAGCGAGAGTAAATGAAAGCTCTCTTCTGCGGAATTTTGTATGTGGCCCCCAGGGTTCCTGGTTTTCTATTGTAAAAAAAAAAAGCTCTAACACTGAAATAAGAGTACTTGAGCATTTTTCAGGCTGTTACGACACTACCCATGTTGCAAATTGATTCTGAAATTTTTCTTATAACGCCCACAGCATTCCGGGTTGATTTTTAATTGTAACGGATATGTATTAAGTTTCTTTTTGTTGTGAAATTAACAGACTTGGCAGTGGGAGCACCAAAAACTGCAAATGTTGCGTTCCTGCGGTGTATACCGACAATCAATGTCACTTTGTCGGGAGATACACTTATTTCGGTAAATAATTTTTTTCTATCTATATGGTACTCGAAACTTTTATATTTTGCTTATTGCAGCGATTAGCGGTTAAAATTATGAATAGTATTGGCTCTACTTCTACGAAATTATTACAAAACATTTCTGTTTCGAAAATTCAATACAATTTTGTATAGCATTATGAATCACATAGAGTTATAAACAACGATTTGTAAAAATTACCGACTGAAGCAACTTGTTTTTCAGAATGTGAAAGAATTGGACGACAATTTTACACTACAAGTATGCGTTAATGTATCTTATCACGATAAATCAACAGTCAATATAAGCACTAGTAAGTAATTCTTAAAACTACACTCACGGACATATTTAGAGGAGCGCGGTAAAAGAGTAAAATTATGATAACAATGGAAGAGTTCGTTCAGGGATGTTCTGCAATCTTACTGGTAATGGTGCTGGTGAAATTACAGGCACTATCAATTAATATCTCAGGGTGACAGGTTCGTTGCACTGCAACTGTTATGGACAGGTGTGCTGTTACCAACAGGCGTACAACGCTTGGTATCATGGAAAAAAAAAATTGTTCACATATCGTCGCCTTAGAGTGAAATCCTTGCATACGCGTTTACACATAGTTCGTTTTTACTGATTTGTGTTGAAGAAAAACCTATTAACTACTTGCTCAAATATATTATTAAAGTAATATAGTAATCTGAAACAGGTATAATTGAACTAATTAAAATGCTAATTACAAAAATTATCGCGTTTACTACATTTTACGCCATTTTTATCTTCGTCCTGAAAAATTACATAGAAATCACATATGAGGTACAGACGACGATATTCCAGAACGTCTTCGCCTTTTCATCACCGGGGGACTAGGTGTAGGCTTGAGTCCCTATGTTGTGGATATTTCAAAGATTCGTACGAAGCGTTACACTTGCACATTTATATGGCGAACGGCTATGGAGTGGAATTCCCAGCCTGCAGACTTATTGCCTGAACGTCGTAACTTGGGCCTTTTCAAGGCGAGAGTGAATAGGCATTATTTAGGTGTGCAGGCTGCATCGTCGACCTTATCGTCACTTTCCATCACGTGAGATGGAGGAATAAAAAAAAGTTTAATTTGAAAACAGCATGACTTCGATCGTCTTTGTTTCTATTAAACGCTATGATTTAAGCGTCCAGCGGTCCATATGAACATTGTTGCCGTATTTAACCTTTTTTGGCGATCCTCTAAATATGTCCATGAGTATATTTGTATTCAGTTGTTCTCTGTACATTACCGTTACACAGTACATTGTGTTTTCCCAGAATTGTTAGTAACAACCAAAGTCGTAAGTGGAATTGACATTGAAATAGAGAATCCGAATTTTGAAGTAGATTTGTCTGAAAGATTGGACCATCGTTGTGATGATGTCATCGTGAAACCGGTATGTGTATTTGTTTAAACATTTTTTCTAGGCGCTGTTACACATAAACCTATTATATTCAGTGATTAACCTCTGGTCAAAGTCAAAGTCGAAGTCAAGCAATCTTTATTTCATATGTAAGCAAATTACACTAGATATAGTCATATTGATTAAACTCTATTGCTCATTCGTAAGGCAGATTTTCCTAAGAAGAATGAGCAAGAAACTTTAGGGGTTGCTCACCGTAAATATAGATTTGAATACGTTTATCATTACAATATTTAATTTAAACATCTTAGACCGAGAATACATGAAAGAGCTAAACCGGTCACTACCAAGAATTTTTGTCATCCAAGACGCAGAAGATGTATAATAAATAACTTGTAGTATACAGTTTTTGTTTGATAGTAGTTTTAATGCTCGTAAATGGCAAATTTTAAATATCAATCGGAATCTAGAAGCGTATACATTGCCCCTTATATGAATTTGAGACTTTATGAAGACAATTCTCAAGAACAGCTAGTTTATTTTTATTCCACGTATTAATGTTATGTCTGTCACTATATTTCTTAAAACAAAAGCATTTTTCTTTCACGTTAGTGTAAGAATGTTAATCTTCGGATTTAAATCGCTTATATTTGTTTTTTCAAACAAACCAACGTTTGGTGCCCTTTACAGGTCCCATGGTCACGGTTGACTAAGGTGGTACAGCTATCGACCAGTTATATCTAAAATTAGTGCAAACCACCTTATTTTTTCACTATAGTTACAGAAGTTATTAATTAAATACCTTATTTTCAATTTTACAAAGAAACATTCCAATTTACGCTACATTACGTTTTACAAATTATTTTATTAAATGAATTTTTATTAAGTTAAATTTGTTATTAATTAATAATAGATTTAGAATAAATTAAAACATATTAATTAATACTGCAGTCTTATGTCTGTTTGGGATTTTTCATCAGAGGAAATACTGGACCCCATCCTCCCTGTTGAAATTAGGATGTTTTTTAATTTCAATGGCCTTTCGCAGCACCCTGGGTAGATAACCGACTTCTTTTCAAGGACCTGGGGTTTATCAAACTTCTTTGAATGTGTATTTCATTATTTCCTATGTGTAACAATAAACCTAAGAACTCGAAATGTTAATCTCTTTAAACTTGTCTCTCATAAACACTCTGGGACCCAGATTGTAAATTGCCCTAACCGCAAGCTTCTGCAGGACAAAGATTCTATTAATATAGGCGGCATTATCCCAAACGTTTTTATAATGTTGTATAATGTTGAGTCAAACATTTGTATAATATTATTTTGGTAGATATTAGACAATTGATCTTTTGTAGAAGTTGATAATAAGGTCCATTCAAAGGTCTGGGCTATTTTGGCCCGTGATAGACTGAGGAATATGTCGTACACTTGGTATAATTCGTTACTACGGTCTCGCGGTCTCCTCAACGTACTAATACGCATAATGAAGGCCTCATCAAAACCAATCATTTGCGTCCGAACACAAGGTAGCCAAAGTAGACGCTGTACACTGCTGAGGAATTCTTCTCATTTGTCTACCATTTCTATCATCAGATTAGCTCTAGGTTACCGTAACATTTTATTTTTACCCAAATTATATCTATGTGCCAAGTTTTATTGTAATCGGTTAACGAAAAGTTGGTGAAATTCAATAAACCAGATTCATCTCCTAATTTGTTACCCTCAGTGTTGGAATATTTTCTTCAAATTTCCTCTTTCCAACAAACAAGGAATCATCGAAATCGGTTCCCAAATGTCGAAGTACCTGCGTAACATACATACGAAAAATAAAAAATACAGTTCAATTGAGAATCTCGTCCTCTTTTGAAGTCGTTTTAAATTTTGTTAAATACACTTCTGTAGTAAAGTAATTGCTAGATATATACTAAAAAATATATATCAAAATACAATATACAAGAGGTGTCATCCGCTCTATACTCTACGTGTCTTATTTACTTGAAGTTTAGATAAATATATTTTTCACCTCACTAGCTCGAAAAGGTTTACTTTCTTATTGGAAATCAGCACGCAAAAGCTTTTTTCCACACTAGCAAAAGGGTTTTTGAAATTCGACCTTTACTGTGGTACAGCTTTTTTGTGAAAAAAAAAACGACAAGTTTAACTACGCGATTTGTCGTACATTATTTATGTAATATAAATCCGTTGGTATATTTTATTCTTATTATTGTTGGCATTAAATTTATAACGACAATTAATTTTCTTATAGTTCAACTGTTTTTCTCTGCCATTTTCCTCGATACAGTGCGGTCAAAAGTTGTGTGTTTCGCTCGGCAGCAAAGTTGTTTTGCCTCTCGTGGCTTGAAACCCTCGGTACGATCAGGATTCTATCAAAGGGTCGTATTCCAGAACTCTACTCAATGCTCAAGTCAGGATTTGAGCAGACTTGAGTATGATTTCAAGCACTGGAAATACGACCCTAATGGCAAGGACTTGAGTATGATTTTCAGTGCTCACTGCAATACTCAAGTCCTGACTTGAGTATTGAGTAGAGTTCTGGAATACGACACTTAGAATACTTCGCTTGCTCAGGTTTCAATACAAGCACTCGCGTCAACAACTTTGCAGCCTTCAATAACAAATACGTAACCATTTTTTGTTCCATATTGCAGCTTTACCACGAATCGGGTAAATATGTCTTGAAAAGTCAACTGACCAGCGATTTGGAGGCGTCACTTGTTGAAACAGGCAAGTTTTTTTTTTAAGGCTGGATGGCATTCGTGTACATAACCGTTTCGGTCACAAACTAAATCTTAAATGTTTTCCTCGGTGTCGACAAACCGCAAAAGAAATGAATTCATATGTCGCATATTGACGTCTTTTTGTTTCTAATATAATATATAAAATAAGGAAAAATTGAGAAAAAGTTTTTTTTCCATAGGAAATGGTACCATTTTTCCGGATTTAAATCGCGTATATTTGTTTTTTCAAACGAACCAACCTTTTGGGCCCTTTACAGGTCCCATGGTCACGGTTGACTGAGGTGGTACAGTCATCAATCAGTTATGTCTAATATTAATGCAAACCACCCTATGTTTGTTTGAAAAAACGAATATACGCAATTTAAATCCGGAAAAATAGTTTCATTTCCTATGTGTAACAATCGCGAAAACCCAAGAAATTTCTTACCCGTATAAACCTAAAGAAAGAACGCGTACATTTCTAAAGGTAAACAACACTACTTCGGTTTCCATGATTAAAAACTTATTTCTGCACCAAGTTGTTTCTTGTGATGATTATGACCACTAATTGAAATGTGGTTAAAATTATATACTGTGCCAAACAACCACATCAATTGATCTGAAACTAGGGAATTTCCTGTATTGTGTGTAAAGCTTTCCCACGGCCTGAGGTTTCCAGGGCCGCGGTGCGCAAGTGGGAAGAGTGGAATTCGCCGGGCGTCGGTATCGTCAAAGGCGTGAAAAGCAACTATAACAGAGCAATGAAAGTCACTCTTGGGCATTACCCAGAACACCCAAACAAACTTTGTTTAACCCTGTCCATTGTAAATATCGGGAACCCATCTGGGTTACTCCTTGTCTGGAAAGGTACTAATGGCAGTTTCAGCAATGGAATTTGAGATCTAATACAGTGTGTTAATGGTAATATTTTCTCTGAAGAGAGGGTTAAGACCATAGTCCACTACGCTAGACTAATATGAATTGGACTTCATACATTTTCCAGGGGTACGTTTTACTTATACGAAAACGAAATAAACTAATTTCAAAGCAATTACCGTTTTGTACCGTAAACTGAAGCCTGAACGTACTGAATGGGAGCCGCAACCACGATTTGACCTAGGTAAAATACGTTTGTTTTATTTATACCATCAACGAATCCAGTGTCTAACAATAATAATTTTGTCGAAATGAAAATTCAGCATTGTAAACTATATTAAGGAAATAACTGTCCTTCCGCACCACACCGGCTTTTAAATTACACTCTTAAGGTCGTATTCCAGAACTGTACTCAATGCTCAAGTCAGGATTTGAGCAGACTTGAGTATGATTTCAAGCACTGAAAATACGATCCTAATGGCAAAGACTTGAGTATGATTTTCATTGCTCACTGCAATATTCAAATCAGGACTTGAGTATTGAGTAGAGTTTTGGAATACGACTCTTAGGGTCGTACTCCAGAACTCTACTCAATGCTCAAGCCAGGATTTGAGTATGGTTTAAAGCACTCGAAATTATACTCAAGTCCCTGCTATTAGGGTCGTATTTCCAGTGCTTATGTTTCCAGTGCAATCCTGACTTGAGCATTGAGTAGAGTTCTAGAATACGACCCTCAGTATCGAACAGACAAATATCATGGTGAGTCGGGTTTAAACTTATTATTTATGAAAAATGATATTATACTAAGTAAAAATTATTTAAATTGACAATATATTAAATAATTGTTATATAATATTAGTTTCACATGAAAAAAATATTATAAAATGTGAATGGTATATCAAACAAGAATTATAGGAAGTGAAATTGGTACAAATAAAAATTATTTTAAATGAACGGTATTTGTTTTGAAATTAGTTTATTTAATTGTCATAAAAGTGAGGCACACCCGTGGGCTTAGTAACGACAGAACGAAGTGATTGTCTATACGGGTGAAAATCAAGAAAGTTTGGCTACCCATAGCAGTAGGTAGATGCCCGGTTAGGTTAGAACAGTAGGAATAACGCATACCCATTTAGATTTCGCAATCCACAGCGGTATAGAATATTGCGTATATCTGAATAGGTTTTAACAAATGTACGAACGTTTTTATTAGAATCTTACCTGTCAATTGTGAAACAATTGTTCTCCCATTAAGCTATTGCGGTCTTTGTTAATGTAATTTCTTTCTCTTTTGACAGACTTTAACAGCGCTTGGGTATCTCTCAGTCCGTACAGTGTGACCAGCCTAACGAGCGAAGTTCATCGATCTTGTTTTAGTGATTGTGCGCCTCGATTAAACGTTTCGCTATTATTCGGTGGTCGGTGAGTTACAACTCGTAATACTCTTGACGTTGTGACGTCAACTAACGCTATTTCAAGGCCAAGTTTAGTTCATGAATCTCATCATCATCGCCAACCATTACAATTAGGTTTAGGTCATTGTTCGCCACGCTGCCCCAAGGCGCTTTTAGGATTACCTTGTGTAAAGCGTTACCCAAAGATACCTGATCCCCTAACTTTTACCAACAGTAGAGCTCCTTAAAGTGCTCCTCCAGGGAACTACTGTCACCTTCTTATATCTGCCGCCAAGCGGTAATGTTAGCTGGGTAAGGGTGCTGGTCAAATTATAGGCACATTATCAACTTGTCTCAGGGTGACGGGCGCAGTGGCAGTGCCCCTAAGATCTTTTTTAAAATCTTTGCGATTTAAAGTGAGTGGCACTAGAATTGAACAGATGTGCCTCTTACTATTGAAACTAAAAATTGATATTTAATGAATCTTTCACACATACTCCCCTGTTGCACAAAAAGTAATTGTACCTACTAAATAAAAACTAATGCAGCAGCTGATTTTTTTCGCGTTTTGGTGGTGACACTAATATAGCAAAATTTGTAAGTTTCATCAACTAAACTTGGCTTTAAAGTAGTTTCAGTTAATTTTGTTAACCACTAATAAATTCGTATATAAATTACAGGAACAGCACACAAAACTATACTCTTGGCTCGAAACCTACTGATACCTTGGAGGTAATAGTGACCAACTATGGCGGCACTGTATCCACAACATGTGTACGCGTGCGCATAAATGGTACAAAAGTTACTAGTACTGACTGCGAGAAAGAGGGAGCCAATTCTACATTTTATGTGTGCAGCCTTCCAGCACCTTTACGGAGAGGGGCTACGGTAATGTTTTTATGTATATTAATGATTTTACTAAAGTTTCGGTGAGCCTATTTTTATGAAAACAGACATGGTGACGCTTGACTAAGCGACAATATGGTGAGGAAGATACACTTGACTAATAATACAAAGATCGAACACACAGAAAAAAAATCATCTACCCGGTGGGACTTGAACCCACGTCCATGCTGCACCGTAGCATTGCTCTTACCAACTGAGCCACAGATCCAGTTACCGAGTCGTCGTAATTCTCCTCTGTTTTTGTTATAGATCTTTGTAGTAGCTTTCGGCCTTCGTCGCGGTTAGTGACATCTAGTGTAAGATTTTCGAATTACCTTCTAACCTCTATGAAGATAGGCTTGTCAATTTGCTTGCTTCGCGACCAGGTTTTTGCGATCATAGCAATCATTGGAAATGAAGTTGCGTTTGCGCATCTAAATCGCATATTATATTTGTTTATATTTTTTAAGCAAACTGACATTTCGATTTATTATATTATAATAAGAGCAAGTAGTGCAACCCCCGACTGTTCGGCCAATAAAGCTTAGACTTCGCTCGGAGCGTTAGTTGTTTGTTACATTATTATTTTAGTTGCACCTACATGTTGTAAGCATCACAGAATTCTCGGACTATATTGAAATAACCTCTATTAAATGAACTAATCATCGCGTATAAGTAGGACTATGATTATGAATAAGAAAGGAAATGGTGAACAATTCCATATTTGAGGCACTCTTGTGCAAACTACCACACACACAACAATAAACATGTCTACTATTTGATGTCGTTTTTGAGAAACCACTGGCATCGGCTTCTTTTCTATAATTAATGGCGTGTGGGAACGACTCGCGCCATGCAACGCAAGTGCACTGCGAGATTATTCGAACGTGTGCGCCCGTACCCGCAGGCGTACACACGTACAAACCTCGTTGCGATATTTGAATGGAGTTTTTTTGTAAGTAAATAAGTGCGCATTTCACCTCCATCTCACGTGATGAAAAGTGACGATGAGGTCAACGATGTAATACTTAAATAGTGGCCATTCAATCTCGCCTTGAAAAGGCCAAGTTACCTATAGCGATCGGGGAACAAGGCTGCTGGCAGGGAATTCCATTCCTTTGCCGTTCGCCATATAAATGTGCTAGCAAAACGTTTCGTGTGAATCTTTGGAATATCCACAAGATAGGCGTGGACCTCAAGCCTACGCCTAGTCTCATTATGATGGAATAGGGAAGGCGGAATCAAATCAATTCGATCGCACGCTCTCGTGATATATCCTGTAAAATACTGATAAGCAGGCAACTTTACGACTGTGTTTAAGTTAATCCGAGTCACCTATAGCCTCTTGATACGTTTTTCTTGTGAATCCAGTGTGGTCAGTTGGTATTTAGCAAAACCATCCCATAGGTGGCAGCGGTGGCAGCAGTACTCCATATATGACTGGACTTGTGCTTGATACAGTTGAAGCAACTGTTTTACAGGTCCTATGGCCACGAATGACTAATTGATGACTTCTCAAGAGCCCGAACCGTTGAACGGGTGAACCGTGACTTCATGGGCTTCTTCTTGCTTACAACTAACAAGACGAAAACAACAACTAACTGGACCTGGGCAACAGACATTTCAACATTTTATTTTGTCTATACTCTAACTAAAGTATTCTGGCAAATCAGACTCTTTTTTTACAAGGTGCTGACAAGTTAAGTACGACAAAATATTAGTGTTGACAGTTTGCATCAGAATTACTTTACGTTTACATCACGTTTAAATTAAATAAATTTGAATGTCACGGCGAATAAACTGGCCGAATATTTGGTTATTCGGCTACGCTTCCGGCCGAAATATACTATTTGTTACTACACTAGTTTATATCAAAAATAGGACCAAAGTTATATTAAAATGCGATTTTTTTTTGTCAGACGACATTGGTTGGGCAGCGGCTAGTAATGATAGCGATACTGAAAAAGTTCCAGGTTCAATTCCCTGTAGGATGCATTTGGAAAACGAACTTTTCTAACTTAGTTTTCTAAGTTTGTCACCACACTTCAGGCAATAAATTATCCGCAATACATTATTTAAAATGGTTTTAAACTTCAAAGGTTACAATGCAAATAACATTGAACACAACGAGATCATTCCGTTCCAAGGAAAACATCTATGTAGAAACTCATACATTTGAAGACTGTCATTCTTCTAATGGGACCCAGGAAGATTATGAATTCAACCTTGCTCTTAATGGAGATCATGTTCATTTATACACGTAAGTATTTCTATTCATACGAAGTAAAAAATACAACATTCAAATAAGACATGAACCAAAATGATCTGAATAAAAAATACCCCCAAATCTTATATTTATGACTATTTACAGCATTAGACCGTAAATATTACGCATCGGGAAAAAATGGAAATGGTGACAATTTCCGAACGTCGTTGCCGCGTCTAATAATATATCGCATTATCTAAGGAAAAACTGTTATGTCTGTCTGTCTAAAAATTTCTGGTAAACTGAATGGTTGAGATGACCAAATGATAAGCTTTATCGGCCATTTCGCGGTTGGAATTACCCCAGAAGATGTAAAAACATAAATTTCTGCAATAGAAATCTTTAAATCAGAATATATTTTCTTCAAATTTTATAAATGTATGATGATGATTTTTGTGTATTTAGGTACACAATCCATAAAACCACGGATAAAAATTATGATATATTACTAGTCTCTCTTCTCTCGTTGTTGATATTCATTCAGAACATTTATAAAAATTGAAAATTATATATTTTTGAGATGTTATAACTGCGTTACTGTTGTTATCAGTGCAGATCGATTTCCTTAGATAATAGGGAATCAAATTTCTGGTAGAAAATTATGAAGGAATTTAAATTAAATATGAATAGGCTTATCTATTAAATCAAAAATTATCAACGAAAGAACCTTCAATAAATTAAAAGATTCAGGCGTTACTTTGCGGAAATCCATGTTAATTAAAATACAAGTAAATTAATTTACTATTCCACGAACACAGTGAATGTTAAATCAAGCACAATAGCTACTCTTATATTGATTTTTTTTCATGCAATTTTCTCATCCTCTCTCCGTATAATATTAATATAACACAAGCACCACTACAGCGGCAAATACCACCACCAAAAATATACCCGACACGTGTTTCGCCTATATCCGAGGCTTCCTTAGGGATTGTTGATTCTTCAGTCTTCATTAACTTGATTCTTGATTAACTTCACTGAAAAAATTCAACACTATAGTACTTATTTCCATTTTCAATTTTAGGTACAACGGCTTCTAGACTATGTGAGCCAGAAATAAGTTTAGTCCAGTTACAAAATATATGTACATAAATATCTACTCTTTCACCGGAAACAAGCCACTATAGCTGAACAAGCCCCAGCTATTACATGCATTATTCTAAAGAACACTAAATACACAAGCCACTACAGCAGAATAAGCTCCAGCAACTAGATATTGAACTGGTGTTCATACTGTTTTTACATTTATAAATGAAAATAAAGAGATCATGATATCTGTATGAAACTATATTTAGTTTCATTCTTAGTTTATTTGCTAAGTTTCATAGCAAAAAGAAACAAATATTTTTATTACCAATTAGAATAACAAACTAACAAGTAGATAAAATAATTTCTACAGAAAGTCGAACTCATACGATAGCATAAAACTATGATTACTAAAAAGTAAAAATGGTAGTCAATAATCATAACATTATTAACGTTGTAAATTAATGTGACGTTAGATATTAACTAATAATGTGGTTTAAAAAAATGGAAGTTTTACTACTATTTTTATGAAAAAATATCCAATACAAGCATATCCATTTTGCATGATTTAAACCTTCGCTGGGTTCGCGGAATAGTAAATTAATTTACTTACATTTGCATTAACATGGATTTCTGCAAAGTAACGCTTGAATCTAGGAACTTTGCTTCACGCATTCTAGATAGAAACAATTGAAAGAGTAAAAGAGAAAAAGTAGTTGAAAATCAAATACAAAGATCAAATAATAAGCACACAGAAAAATTCGTAAAGTCCGCTGGTTCGTTCCGTGGCTTAGTTGGCATAGCGTCTGGTATGGTTTGCAAGAAGACGTCGGTTCGAATTCGGCCGGATCGAAGGAATTTTTTCTAATTGTTCGATCTTTGTATTAATAATTATAACAAACTAGTGGAGTAATTTCACAAAAAAAAAATTGAATACAAATTTAACCTGAAAGAATTCAACGGGTTCAAAATTTGCCATTTATATTATTTTATTTTTAATAAAATATAAGTGCGTATTTGACCTTTATCTCATGCACACCTAAGATGCCTATTCACTCTCGCTTTGAAAAGGCCCAAATTATAACGTTCAGGGAATAAGTTTGCAAGTAGGGAACTTTTGGAATATCCACAACATATAGAAAGGTAATAGAATGAGAAAGGCGAAAATGCCACTGCACACTCTCCGTGATATATATCATGAAGATTACAGAAATATAAATAGCAAATTTTGAATATCAACAGGAATCTTATTATAAATGCGTGTAGGAGAAAGTTTCTTTTAATGTAAATGTATTACGTCAAGTATAGTCCAATTTGGCGGCTGCGTAGTAATGTTCTTTTCTAATTTGTTCAACAGCGTTGACAACAATATGACAATAACTGATGCGACTTTGAGCAGCACAAACGTAAAGGATATTCAGGATACCCATGAATATACTGTAAGTTTATTTTCTTTTTGTTCAGAAATTTTGGCATTATTTTCAAAAACAGAAGACGAGAAAGACTTTACTGATTGCCGTGATTTCAAAAATAGAAGAACTGAATGGGCGCGCTAGAGCTGAGAGTAATGTCAAATGTGTCTTTGGACATATGACGAAAAAATTAAAAAAAACTGACATTGAAATGAATCATATTTTTGAAACGATTGTATACCGTAAAATTATTTTACACGTTTTTTTCAACAAGTCTAAAAGTTATTTAAAAAAACACAAACCCGACTGCAAGAAAATGTTCCTCCCTGACTATTTTTATAGCCTATGACACTCCCAAATATAAATATGTCAAAATCAAAGCGTAAAAAAGAAATGGACATACATACACTTGAAAAACGTAACCTTCCCGCAGTCGGGTATAATTTCTTCAAAAAGTAACTGTACACGATCTGAGAAATTTTAAAGGGCGATTCTAGCCACACACAAAAACTTTGCTGTTTCATATATTCGGTGTAGTTGGTACAAACCATAGAAATCTAAATTTGCCAATTAATTTAGATTTCTGTGGAAACAAACATTTACCAAGGAAAGCTGTGTTTTTGTTTGTGTTGTATTTGGTTAAAGATCTTGAGTTAATGTCAGTTATTTGTGGTAATGAGAGAATCACCTTCAAAAACCTAGCAGATTTTTGTAGGTATAGGACGTAAATTGGCAATAGTTGGACTCGTATAGTAATAGATGTCACCTTATTTCATCTGTAGGTAAGATTATACTCGTCCAGCAATTCCTCATTTTCTATTCTTCGTAATTATGATTTTGAGATTTAGCATTCGACAATATAATAATAATACTTAGATCAAAATTATTATATCAATTATGGTTGTTAATACAGGTTAATACATACAATTTCATACATACAGGTTGATGAATAAACTACTGTCTATTTTAAAGCAGTTCATACATAATAAAATAAAAAATACTTGTTCGTTTTTTTTTTCAAATACTTGCCAAAAAAATAAAATACGACGTCAAAAAGTTTTTCGAGAAATTGTGAATAATATTGATATCCGACGATTAATAGACGCCATTGCGATAGCAACAGTGGGCGGAGTTAGCGTGCGAGTCTATTGACCTCGGTGGCCGAACGGTTAGCTCTGTGGGCGTTGGTGAGGAGATCCCGGATTCGATTCCCGGTAGGACAGAATTGCTGTGGTTGTTGCTGGCCCTTTATTAATTTGTAATTGTACCGTTTTTTCGAGACACTGCAGAGTCATTTTTCAAAGCGTCAAATGCACATGTTTCGTTCGTCACGATTTTGAGCTTTGTTGACATGCAAACGGCGCTTAACTTCATTAACATCATAAAAAATGACACGGAGTACGGTAGGATGATCTGGAAGTTCAAGGTACTGGTCCGCCGCCGCCTATCCATCGATCGTACTCACTCGTTGAAATTTGTCGCATATCGCATTTCATCCTCTACTTCTACGAGCTTTCGCAGCTGGTCACCTTTGCGTGCGTGAATTGATAACGTAAACTGGCCGTTGACGAGAAGGCGTTGGTTTACAGCTAAATTTGTGCTTAGTTGAGAAATCTTTGGATCCACTAAGCCCTGATTTCGTAGACGGGGGACACTCCATTTCATTCGATAAAACACATATCATTCGTAATTCTGGCGATGAGAATACATTGTTACGCCATGAAGCACGTACTTCACTAAGACACATTGGGGACAACAACCGACGAGTTCCCGGTTTGCAACTCTCAAATCTACTACCGATGTGCCGCTCCCGTCGCATCAGTGAACCTGGAAATCACGCGTTAGAAATTATTGGGAAATTGTAAACATTCTGAAACAGCAAAAAATGGGGATTTTTTCACTAATGTGCTAAATTAGTGAATCTTATGCACGCGAAAAAAATGTACAGTGATTTTTTTATCATCCTTTATAAGATAATATAATATGTTAAATAATAAAATTTATATTTTATTACAGATTATTAATAACGGATCTATTATATGGGATGGTATTAGAGCTGTGGTTTCTATAGAAAAATTAAATTTCTTCAATAATACATCAGTAAGTTTGGGGTTGGACCCATTTATCAGCTCGTAAATCGTATCATTTTATTTTTATATTTAATTTCTTACAAACTCATTTTGAAAGAATCGGTATTTACAGAATGCCGAGAATACTTAAATATAAGGACCGTTTACACTTTTCTATTAAGGCAAGCCATTATTGGCGTCGTGTAAATAGAGATGATCCATTATGGAGTGTCTCTAGACCAATGATAAAGACAATCCCCTAAATTAGAATGATTTCTAATTTTACGGGCCAATACATTCACCCACCACACGTGCATTGAATTGACTCATGTAATGTTTTATCTACACATATTATAAACCCTCTATGATATGTTCAACAACCGCAAATTACGACCAGCATAAAGATAAACTGTTTTGTTAGAATAAATTTCTTATCTGTGTAAATGTTATTATTGCTTCTCTAACATCGAATTCGATTTTATTATTACATTAAAATTTTGAACATCTCTGAAAAACAAAATAATTTGATTGGACCTCAATTCTAATATCAGTGGAGATGAAGTTTTATTCGAAATGAAATGTCAATAGCAAACAATTTTGACAATTTCACACGTTACTTGATATCGAACGATATGATAGTTGGCGCGGATTCTAGTTTGTCTATGAATTAAAAATAAAAACTACGGTTGTGTGTAATGCGTGAGAAAAGTTTTATTTTCCCGCCATTTCGCCAGACGTATCATGCGGTTCCTGAACACATCACAGAGAGCTTATAACATGTGTATAGATAAAGCAGTGTATATAACTGTACATAATTAGGCATTAAAACACTCGTGAGATGTTTTTATGAAACTCGCCTGTCGTCTCGTTTCATAAACCCACACTCGTGTTTTAATGCTTTTCATTATGTAACAGTCATATAAAATGTAATAGTCACTATTTGTGTGAACGTGCATCTTGAGCCGCTCCACTAGTTGACGTTTAGTAAAGAATATAACAAGAAACTTAATGTAACACGGGCTGTTGTGTACTCAGACTGGTTTAATGGCTTGGCTTTGCGGAATGGGTCGTCAATTAACTGCCCCCGTGGCCGAACGGTCCCAGATGAGGTCCCAGGTTCGATTCCCGGGCAGTGAGAAATATTTGCATAGCCTACATTTATTTCGGGGCTATGTTGAGTGTGTGGGTTATTATTAAAAAAAAATTGGCTTCATGTGAATGAGCCAATATACACTCTTGGAGCATATTATCCTTCTTAGAAACTCGAGCATGCTTTCTAACTAATATTTGCCCAGGACGTCTATTGTGCTATTTTCGATGTTAGTGACGTGATTAGTGTCGTCTAGCGCAGATGTTAGAGCATGTACTATTTATTAATGTTTCAGGTATCGATCACTCAGGGAACACAGTGCAGTGAAGATAGTAGCGGAAGTAAAATAAAATTCACCTGCATCGTTAATTTGATGCCACGTTCGGATGTCAAAATTATCGTAGCTACAGACATTTTGAAAATGGATATTCGTAAGTTATACTACTTAACTGCCTCCACGCCGGAACGGTTACCATGCTGGACTGCCATGCAGAGGTTCGATTCCCGGGCCGGGTGAAATGTTTGCATAGCCTACATTTATTTCTCTCATTAGTTTGGGTGTAATTTGTGGTAGTCTACGTGTGTGTCCATGGCACCCGCGATACGAGGTGCGTATCTGTGAGTGTGTGCGTATTATTTGTTATTTATAATCTTTTAGTACTTTTTTATGTAAATCTTATACGAGTTACTTCGTTAATATTACAACAGCATAAATTTTAAAGCTGGATTAAATGACATTGGGTGACTTCGAGAGGGTCTTTAAAGTGCTGGCAGTCCATGCTAATTCGTAGGGCAAGGTAGATGCCCACTTTTATATTCCGTCTATTCATTACGCGTTCTTTTTTGGATACGATTTTGTAAATTTTGCTTTTACTCTTACGTTCTGCTTACATTATGGTGTACATCATATAATACGAGGTTAATTTTCGAATTTCAGAAAAGAATTTGATTAACGACAAATTAGAATTCGATTCAAATCTAGATCTAATTTTGGATTCGAGTATACAAAACATCACCCAAAGGTAAACAGAGACTGAAACAAATATTTGCTTTCGTAAATATTATTAATGTCTAGAAAAGTTCTTTACTTGTCTTGTGCTGTTTTATAATAGCACATGACGAGATAAACAGATCATGCGCCTGGTGGTTAGTGACACCCCTGTCCAAAATAGTTTAAACTGAGGCATAAGTTGCCAAGTCCCATGTGCCTGTCATTTCACCAGCACCCTCACCCTTCAAAATCGGAACGCAGTAATGCGCGACATTACTGCTTGGAGGCAGAAATAGGTAAGGTGGCAGTACATCCCAGGACGCACTCTTTCGCAAGGAGCTCTTGTGCTACTAAACTTTAACTGCTCCAAGACTTTGTCGGTTACGATATCTGCACATATTAATGCAATCATTTGTAAAATCTGAATGACGAACAAATTGTTATAATACAATCCGACCTAACGATGTGTTCAATCGATATACCGCCTTGTTACCTTTTTATTATGAACAATAGGAAAATTAGTATACATAGCATTGACTTAAGTCAATGATACATAGTCAAAATTCGATCAAGGTCACAATTAGAGGAAAAAAATCTTGATTTTTAAAAACTATATGATGAGAAAAGTTGCTTAGAGAAGTTTATTGTAAAGTAGATTTGCCACAAATGTAGATATTCCATATTACAAAAACATAAACACATTCACGACGAATAAATATAACTGAAAAAAAGTGCAACAGGTGGCCTATTTCAGCGGCAAAGTTTCGGTGAAAGAGAAATAGACATAAAGGGCAATAAGTTTCGAGTGGTATTAGGCGTAATACATTGTCTGTGAAAAGATAAAGAGTCTAAAGCGCCATACAGGTACCTAACCCAAACAAATTACGAACAAATAAAGCAAAGCGCATCGCGACAAAGTGGCACTTTCTCCGATTATTGAAGTGTATTGCTAACAATACTTATTGTTTAATATCGATTTATTTTTCAATTAAGGTTGACTAATACTGTACTAAGTCGATGTTAAATGATGTTAATTTAATCTACTTTATATCTAATTCTTTTTTATTTAAATTCCCCCTTTTTGTGGCACTAAACTATCGCTCAAAGTGGCGTGTGACTTTTTAGCTTTCCATAGACAATAGTTTTGTTGGCGCTATTTATTATTTCGTATTCTTTTCAGTCATAAAACAACAATAATCTACAAGAAGAAACTCGGCGTGGGTCATAACCAAACCTTAATAGGAATTATTGCTGCTGTAGTTGCAATTGTCATACTTGTTATCTTGGGCTACGTTCTGTATAAGGTAATAAATGCTCCAGTATTAGTATATTATTGCAGAGGCCGGGAAGTAAGGGATTACTAGACGAATATGAGTTGCCTCGTTGCACTTGGTCTTGTATTATATGAGTCAGGCAATCCCCGTTCCCGCCGAGATATATATTTGTAGATAGATATTATGCTTTTTTTAAATAATGCAAGGAAATAATAAATGACTAAAGAATTAAGAAGTATGATAGAAAAAGTCGAACAAGTTCACTAAGACAAATTTTATTTATTTTTTAAATTTGCCGGAGTACACTACAGTTGCACTTTTGTATTTTCGTTCTTCTCAGTAGAACTCATTTTTGCAAAGAAATAATAAAAAAAATACCAAAAACATGTTTACGTCCTGTTTTAAATTCTATTTTGAAACTTAAACTTAATTAAAATCAAAATTTAATTTTAGAACAGGACATAAATATTTAAAAAAAAATCATTAAAACCTATTACTTACATACTGAATCTTTATTTTGAAATATTATTTATTTTTCATTCCCTTTCTAAACTTTTGCTCACTGCCGTCTGCACTTTTGTTTATTTTACCGCAATTTTTTAAAATATACAGTGCAGATATATTCATGCACCATAATTAATCTCAAAATAGGTAATATCATAATACAATATTTTATTTGATTCTCGCCATTATGGACATTGATGTTAGTAACTAGTTGGCCATATGAATGTTTTTCTGTAGTCTGTTTACATCAGATCTTTGTTAGTAGATATATTTAAAAATTTAGAGCAGCGGACAGTAATGGAATCTCATACGTATTATATTTATATACTCTCACGTGTAGAGTTGCACGCCCCATAAACGACAAACTTTGTGAGTTCTTTTTTAGAAAGTAATGCATACATTTCGAGCATGTTTGAGAAAACTCTCTTACCACAATCCTTCTTGTGCTGAACCGTTTTGTTTATCCTTTCAGCTAGGTTTCTTCAAAAGAAAACAAAAAGCGCGATTGGAGAGTTTAAAAGAAAATCGGCAACAGGGTATTGTAAGTGTTTTTTTTGTAATATGTGCCAGTGAAATGCAAGAGAATCACACCAATTCTGTTCTTGTCATAACAACCTGAAGTTTTTTTTCTTTAAAAAATGATTATTACCCTGATTTTGCTTAACAAATAAAGCTGAAACTAAATATGCTAACAACCCAATTTTGTGTTCGAATACGAGCGAAGGATTTTTTCTAAGTGTTAATAATTGTAACAAAACTAGTGGAGTAATTTCACAAAAAAAATATTGAATATTTAATTACAAGTTAATAGCTAGGGCTGGTAGCTGTCAAACCATCTAACTGGGTAACCAAATACTTTCATAGATTTCTTATCGAAATAAAAGGACTTTTCTTATCGAAGGGCTTTTTTCTAAATGTTCGATCTTTGTATTAATAATTATAACAACTCAATTTCGCTAAAAATGTCGATTACGTTAGTTGTGATGAGGAGGGCAGAATTGCTTGGTCTCAAACAAGGGAAATCTCTACTATGATTACCAGAGCAATAAAATTAACCTCGGGGCTCTTGACAGACCATAACCAATTTAAAAAAATCGTTTTGCAAATTGGTCCTACCATGAATCGTATCCGGGACAATGTCAGTGGCAGCATTGCTAACCACTGCGCCATATAAATCTTGAAATAATGAAGACAAATTGCAATCTTTATCGCTATCATTAATCCATCTACATCCCGCATTGCCTGGGCCTAGATATCCGCCAAGGAGGGGGTTTTAGGCTAATCTATACTTATTGCGTTATTGCGTTTATCGTAAAACCATAGTATAATGAGAGCAAGTAGAACTAATATACGTCCACGAGTATAGCTTATAACTGCATTTTCATACATACATAGAAGGGTTGTCCCAAAAATAGTTGGCCACAGAGTAAATAATCTCGTTTTTAACCAATTTAAAAAAGCAGGAGGTTATACGTTCGGCTGTATATACGTTTTATGCTTAGAATAATAACGCATAGAATGATAGTTTCATATCAAACGAACTGTCACAAGTGAGGCAAAAATCAAATTCATGTAGGCTAGTTTTAGTAGTAGGTTAATTTTCGATTTTAGTGAATATTTATATAAAAATACAAGTTGAAACGCGTTACTTCCTTGTGGAATGTGATGTTAGTATCTATTTTATGTTTGTCTGACGTATTATTACGCTCATTTACCGCACATTTCGTCATTTTTAGCTAAAATTCTGGAGCTGTTCGCGGTGCAAGTTGACCTTGAGCACTGAAGGCCCGCCCGCTCGTGTAGGCCCATTGGGTGCGCTTCAATTTGCCTCACTTAGCGTGTGCGGACTAGGTTTCTATGCGTTATTATTCTAAGGTTTTATGTATGTTTTCCGATTTCTTCTTAATTGTGGACCGATTTTGAAAATTATTTTTTCGGTTGAAAGGCTGCACTGTCATGGTGGTCTTATTATCAACAAGTCAGAATCTGATGAGAGGATCCATGGAAATCAAGAAAAATCATCAAATTTTATAGGCATGTCAGTGTACTACCGATTTGTCTGTCAGTTGTGGACCGATTTTAAAAATACTTTTTTTTGTTTGAAAAGGTATGTTCTCGAGGTGGTCCCTGATGCTTATGATGCTTTTCCGGGTTCGTTTCGGATATCAGAAATAAAAAAATATTTTCCGTAAATAAAACTCGACTTTTCACTTCACAAACACCGTCACAGTGACAACCAGAAAAAAAGTATAAAATGTACAAAGGAGTCCGTAACAATGCCATTGTTACAAAGAAGTCAGAATCTGCTGAGGGGATCCCATGGAAATCGCAAAAAACCAAAAGCAAATGAGGCCGGTTTTCGTTTCAATGAAAAAGTTACAATTATTCCTGAAATTATTTTGAATTGATGGCTAATTTTAATACAAATCTCCGTGGTGAAAATATTGACTACTTATGTGTAGTTCTTTTTTAAATATTTAAAAAAATGATCTGTCTCTCCTCTTTTGTTTGCAACAATAGACGTCTCGCGGGAAGCTTTTCGTGCTCATTGTCTATGATTATAAACGAGGGCTAACCTTCAAGGAATCTCACGACAATTTACAAGCTGCTTTTGGGGAGTCTGCTCCTGCGTTGGCTATAGTTGCTTATTGGTTTCGAGAACTTAAACGCGGTCGAGAGAACCAACGATGATCCCAGATCCGGCCGACAACCAACTGTAGTAACTCATGAAAACGTCGTCAGGGTGGCTAAAATACACATCGGGAGATTCAGGCTGAACTGAAGATTAGATCACAGTTTCCATCATCCTGCATGAAAACCTTAAAGTTAAGAAGGTTGCTTTGCGATGTATATTACTCCTTCACTCACCAAAGAGCAAAAATTCCGTCGTGCTGATTGGTGCAAATTTATGCTAGAAAAGTTCGAAGGAGGAACTTCGCAAAACGTACCCTGCATTCTTACAACCAACGACTCTATTCTATAGACAAGAACATTCACAGCAACTACATGTTTCAAACAAAACACTATCAATAGAATTTTGAAATTTTTGTGATGGTGTTTTGTTTAATGTTGCATTTTGTGAAAGAGTGTCACTACCGTAGGACGGTGGACAGAAGTGACTCTCTATACCAATTGGGAATGAACTAGGTGGTCAGATAATATTAAATATTTACCAATGATATTTATCCATAGTTGGAGGATGAACGTAAATCCTCTGGCAAAGTAGCTATTAATTGCAAACTACATTTTATTTTGCT